GTTTGAACTTAAAACTCTCTTGCTTGCTCAGCTTACTTGGTTGGCTGACACTGTACTACTTGAGTTCTGCTTCCATTCTGTTGTTTTTTATTTTGGGAATAAATTGTCATGGATTGCACAGGCTGGTTTTGAAATGTGATCCTCTGAATCTTAGCCACAGAGTAGCTACTGATGCTTGACGTTGTCGTTCTTTTATGCTTCTTTCCTATTCCTTCAATACTATTTCCTGTTCCACTATACTAAAGGAATTTATTTTTCCTGTGTTTTCTTGCTTTCAAGTATCTCCTGTGGGCAGGATTCCATTAAGTACCTTTTTCAATACGGATTTAGTAGTTATCAGTTCCTTTAGTTTCTTTCTTTTTTTTTTAATCGTGGAAGGTGTTTGTTTCTTCTGCAATTGTGAAAGAGACTACACTGGGTGGAGAATATCTTTTTATGTCACAGAAGTGAGGGATAAAGGGACATTAAATAAAGAAGAAAGGATACCCAATAGTTGAGTGTTTTATTGACTTGGTCCACACTAAACATGACTAAAACATATGCCTATCCTCATTCAGCTATATTTAAAGATGGACATAGGTACTAACAGGTGTTGTGTGTGGCTATAAAACATGGTATTCATTCCATTGAATCAGAGATATCCAGTGGCAGGAAATAAGAAACCTGGTGGAGAAAGCTTGAGATAATGCTGTCAGACTGTCTTTATATGAATTAGTCGGTTCAGAATTGCTCACTATAGCTGTGTTTGGAATGAGAGATAATGTCTGGGACAATTTGAAGTGATATACAAGAAGTATCTGATACAATTCTAAGGAAAAGAATACTTATGTCAAGAATGGTTCAGTGCTGCCGGATACTGGTGGTTCATACCTATCATCCTAGCTACTCAGGAGGCTGAAATCTCAGGATTGCTTTTCAAAGCCAGCCTGTGCAGGAAAGGCTGTGAAACTTATCTCCAATAAACCACCAGAAAACTGGAAGTGGCATTGTGGCTCAAGTGCAGAGCACTAGCCTTGAGCTGAAGAGCCGAGGGACAGTATTCAGGCCCAGAGTTCAAACCCTATGACAGACAAAAAAAAGAAGAAGAAAAAAGAAAAGAAAAGAAAAGAAAAAATTAAGATTGGTTCAGTGCTTCAGTTCTACTGGAAGTTGCGAATGCCAGTGGTTCTTTATGTTAATAAACCCTCAAGCAAGGGGGATACCATACCATTCTATATCGTATCATACATACCATACTGTACTGTACCATACCATATCATACTAGCTGAGGTAATTCAATACCAGTTAATGGAAAGCTGCCTTTCATTACCCAATGAGGAAAGAAATGGTTGATATCCAGGAGGTTGTTTTTGGTATCACTAGGTAAAGTTAATGGAAAACTATTATAACAACCCTTCACCCAAAAGAAAATACCACTGAACAGTCAGATTCCCCCAAAATGAATATTGAATCTACCTTAAGTGATAAGGGATTATAGAACAAGGTGTTACAAATACCAGGATCACTTGCAGGATCAGGAAAAGCTGGCACTGAGAGGTTATCTGACATCATGAGACTGGGATGATTGTGGTGGTGGGTGCTTAATAGGCTTTTTGATTTTTTGTTTTCTTTTTTGTCAGTTGTGGGGCTTGAATTCAGGGCCTAGTTGCTGTCCCTGAGCTCTTTTGCTCAAGGCTATTGTGCAACCATGTTGTCCACTTTCTATTAAGGTTTTTGTAGAGAGTGAAGTGGATATAAGCAATTTAGTGGGATGAAAATCTGTATTCCATTTTTTTTTATTTTGGCCCAAGGAAGAATTGATCAAGACCAGGGAGAATCTTTTTCTCTTATCCTAGTCTTTTTTCTCTATATCTGCATATTGTTGGCTCTTTGTAAGCTGCATATTTATTTCTCCCCTGGGGTATTTTTTCATGGATAATTGGGTTGTAGTGAAAGATGCTGCTACCATTGAAATATTTTCAAAATACATGTTTTCCATGGTGGTAGTCTACTCAAAGACCACTGATGGACTCTTGTCCACAGTATAAAATTGAAACATATACTTCTAAAATAGTTTAGAATCATCACAGTTCAGTCCTTGCTTATTTATCCACCCATTTGTCTTCATCTCTTGAAGGGTAGGATGCACTGACATAGGATTCCTGTCCATTGTGCAAATGGCTAATGAGTCATTATCCATCCACAAGCTTCTCTCCACCATTCTCCTAAAATATAGTCAGGTGTGATCAGACACTGTAATAAGTCACCCTGAAATAATTTCCCCTACAGGGTCCTAGGTAATTATTTTGTTTTCAGTGAGTTCCTTTGGGATCTAAACTCCTCTGAGATACAGAGCCCCTGATACCAGGGAGAAGTAGGATGAGATACACAAGTGTGGGTGGTGACATGGGAGATGACTACAGAAGCTGTTACTTCATATGCCCATAATGGATAAAAGGGAGAAAGATACTAGATCACTGAGGAGTTACTCTCAGACATTGTGGGTAAGTTGTTAAGAGGGAGAGTCAGCTAGTGCTTAACTGTCCTTCCAAACTGAGCATCTTGGTTTCCTAAGTTGGATGATGCTTTGTGAAGGATTATGTTTCACATTATGATATTCATCTTCTCTAACTCTGTCTCCCAAGATTTTTGTACCTAGTATAAATATTCTGATTAACGTTTACTACTTGTAATCGTTTTACAAATTATAGCATTCATTAATATTACTATGCAGTGTATTCTCATAAAATTACATCACTGCCAAAATATGTCATTTCTATGAGCAAGGCATTTTGAACAGAGGTTCTTAATCTTTGCTTATTATTCAATTATTCAAGAGGCTTTAAAAAACCTCAGAGAGGCTCTATCAAGACATTTCAATCACATTTACTGAGGGGCAGAACAAAAATTAAAAAGCTTATTAGCATAATCATACTATCCCAAGCATAATTAAGTTTGTCCAAAATCAGATTTACTTGAACAAATTCGGCATTTAACAAAGTAACCACGTGTTTTATATGTAAATTAAATTTCTAGAAGCTGTGTCTTTTGTGATTCTTATATGCAGTTCAGTAAAAATCATGAGAAGCACCATTATGGGAGCACTGAAACTCAGGTGCTGATTAGTGACATCACTTGCAAGTGAAGCCTCTGTGCTTGTGATTCTGACAGAGTCTTGAGGCCAGAGATAGGTGCCACTCCTGTCCAGGGAAGATATGTTCTAAGATATCATGCATATAAAATTTCATTGATGCTTTTTCCAACTGTCCACTAGAATGTTATGCCCAAACATAAAAACTACTATTGCAGCTAGCTTAAACAGCAAGGTGATTTCTACTAAGGGAAACTTCTCAAATGCTTTATTATTCCTGTTTTGCTCTGTTTTATTTGATAGTACAGGGGTTTGAACTCAGGGCCTTATGTTTTTGCTCAGCTTGCTCATCCACACTTGGCCCATGCTTTTACTTGGCTTTTTCTAGCTAATTAGATTTAATTTTAATATGGTCATATATGCCAGAGTATCTGATTATCTTTCTGGAATAAGGAGTAGTGTTAATACTTTCCATAGGTCTGAAGTTACAAGCAAAAATTATGTACCAAAGTGTCGAAAACAGTGCTATATGGTTCAAGCTAGTGAGTCTTTTTGAGAGGACTTAGTGAGTGCAATACTTGTAACTTAAATGATTTTGCAACCTTGAAAATCTTAATCTGGAGAACAACCAGCAAATATTTGTGAAACAATGATTGGTCACATCCAGACACCTGCTTGATAGTCACCCTTTTTTATTATAAAAGCAGACATGCCCTTGATAATTGAAGTCAGTTAACCAGTGATCAGGATGCTGTGGGAACATTGAAGCAAGTTTTGTTTCTTTTTTTTTATATTTTTTATTTTATTTTTTTGTGTAGGGAGATAAGGAAGGGTTAGCTGAGGAAGTCACATGTAATGTATTTGAAGGATAACAGAATTAGCCAGGTGAAGTAAGAGCAGAAGGAAGATTGGATTAGGCAAAAATTACAGGAAATGTGAAAGGTTGGAGTCAGAAAATATTGACATAAATTGAACACTGCTGCAAAAGAGATGTGAATTATTTTGAGGCTAGATAAGACCATGAAGGTAGCCAAGGAAACAGTTATGTCTTTGTCTTTTGTGTCCTTATTTTTTTTACCTGAAGAACAATGAATATTATTAAACTTTCTCTGGAATAATACTGATGTGATTTTTATCTCAGACTGCTGTGCTGTGGGATTAAAGCAAGGCAAACATGGAAGTAGGGAGATGGGTAGTCTGTCCAAATCATCCGTATAGATATGATGCCAGCCTGTTCCATATTATAGCAGTTGCTTTGAACATTAGTTTTAAGTGAGATTTATTGAAGATTGTCCTGATATATCCTTTGAGAGATTATTTCAAACAGTTGGTAATAGGGTACTAAAGGTAATAGTAAAGTTAACCCATGAGGTTTAAACAATAACTGTTGCTATGGGAATAGAAAAGCTTTTAAGGGCTCTCTATCTCTAATGAATTATAAAGTAATATTTGGAGTATGTAGTACAAAGGCCTTGTAAACAGTGATTTATAAGATATTGTTAAGAAATAATTCAATGCCAAGTGTCAGGAGGCTGACATTTAGGATTGTGGAGCAAAGCCAGCCCAGGCCGGAAAGCCCATGAGACTCTTACCAAAATGCTGGACATGGAGCTGTGGCTCAAGTGGTAGAGAACAAAATGCAGTTGAGAATGAATGGCAATAGATGCATCAGAAGAATTGCTGTGATCATACAGGGTTAATACATAAGAGTGTTTTAGAAGGGAGGGAAGAGTCAGTATTACTTCTAAAGAGAAGAAAATAAATCTGACATTTGATGTGGCATATTTCTGATTACAGAAGATGACTTTTTTCAGGTGGGTGAGATCCAATATTGCAGAATACCTAGCAAATCATATATCATGGATGTGTACTTTTACTTTGATTTTTAAAGGACTTCAGTATTTTCTCCTAGAGATATTAGAAACAGAGCATGACAAAGAGTAATCAAACCAGCATCTCAGCATTCATCCTCCTGGGCCTGCCCATCCAGTCTGAGCACCGATACCTGTTCTATGCCCTGCTCCTGACCATGTACCTAACCACAGTCCTAGGCAATCTTCTGATCATCATTCTCATTCAATTGGATTCCCATCTACACACGCCCATGTACTATTTTCTCAGTAATTTGTCCTTCTCTGACCTCTGCTTTTCTTCTGTGACCATTCCTAAACTGTTACAGAACATGCAGAGCCAAGTGCCATCCATCCCCTACGCAGATTGCCTGACCCAAATGTACTTCTTTTTGTTTTTTGGAGATCTTGAGAGCTTTCTTCTTGTGACCATGGCCTATGACCGATATGCAGCTATCTGTTTTCCTTTGCACTATACCAGTATCATGAGCCCCAAGCTGTGCTTATGTCTGATAGTGCTGTGCTGGGTCCTGACCACATTCCATGCCATGTTGCACACTTTACTCATGGCCAGATTGTCATTTTGTGAGGACAACATGATACTCCACTTTTTCTGTGATATGTCTGCTCTTCTAAAGCTGGCCTGCTCAGACACTTATGTCAATGAGTTGGTAATATTGATCACAGGAAGTATCATTCTATTCATTCCATTTGTACTCATTATTGTGTCCTATGCACGAATTGTCTCCTCAATTCTCAAGGTTCCTTCTGCTCAAGGTGTCTATAAAGCCTTCTCCACCTGTGGCTCTCATCTGTCTGTGGTATCATTGTTCTATGGGACGGTCATTAGTCTCTATTTATGTCCATCAGCTAACAGTTCTGCTGTGAAGGAGATGGTCATGGCTTTGATGTACACAGTGGTGACTCCAATGCTGAACCCCTTCATCTACAGCTTGAGGAATAGAGACATCAAGGGGGCTCTTGGAAGAGTCATTTGTAAGAGGAAAATCTCATTCTGGCTGTGATAGTAACTTGGGGATTATTACCTAATTGCAAGAAATATTTGAATATTATTTTAGACAAGTTTTTTCTCAGCAGGGATGCTTTACTTCAAATAAAACTTGGTGTAATTGTCCAGTACTATGGAGTTGTGCATCTGATGTAGGCAGAGGTTTCCAGTGACATATCAGAAGTTTTCTTATTTATTAATATAAAATTACTCTGATGAGGTATAATGTGGAGTATTTTAATTGTAACTTCTGTGTCTGGATATTAAAGTACTAGCTTAATCATGTATTTTAAAAACCCAACTGTTTTAAATTGTACTCTGCTCTTTTATGCCAGCACTAAGGTCCCAACATGTCTCTTGTTCCTTATTCTGAACTAGAATTTTTATTGTTGAATAAAAATTCTGTATTTAGGTCTTTAAATACAACTGTTCACATGTCTCATAACTTATATTATTAATCTTCTTTTTATCTCTACTGTGTCTTTATACTTGATTTGTATTTAAAATATAACTCTTTGCTGTATAGTTTAGGTTGTATTTGCTATATTATGTAGTTTAGTTAGTGTCTACTTGGGATTTATTTCATATAACGGTCCCAACAGTTACTCCCTCAAAGATGGGGAAGAAAGAGTTTTCTTATCAGCTTCACTTTTTATATCTCTGTCCATTTTTGATATTTCAGAACTCATCAATAAACTTTATATTTGTGATCTTATTTTATACTCATGATAATTCCATAAATTGTATCATCATATCAACCTTTCTCCCTTCCTTTCTTCCATTCCCTTCCTTTTCTCTCTTTCTCTCTCCATCTCTCTCCCTCTTCACAGCTTCTACAAACCATCCTGCCTTTTGTTTTCATTCCTACAGAAGTTTGTGCAATGATCCCATTTACTTTTAATTAAAATTGTGATTTTTTTACATATAAACTATTACAAATTCTCATCATTTTTTTCTTGTGGTGCTGGGTTTTAAGTTTGAACCTCAGGGTGTGGGTGCTGTCCCTGAGCATTTTCACTCAAGGTTAGCATTCTACCAGTTAGACTCCAGCTCTACTTCTGGCTCATTCTGGTGGTTAACTGGAGATCAAGAGTCTCTTGGACTTTTATGCACGGGCTGGCTTCAAGCCACAATCCTCAGATCTCAGCTTTTTGAATAGTTAGGATTACAAATGTGAGCCACCAGTGCCAGGTTCTTATCTTGTTTTTGAATAGACCTTATAAAGTAGTCTCTCATCTAGCCAGTCTTTTCCAGGGAAAAGTCTTTCCATCTTAGAAAAGTTCAGAACTATAAATATACCATTGACAAGTCTAATCTTTTAGTCTGTATAAATGCTTAGAACCAAGAGCTTAGTATACTTGACTGCAATATCATTTGAAGGTATACTTTTCTTTGATATTTTCGCATTTATTAAACTTCACTGTGTAAAATTCCTTTGAGTGTCTGCCCTATAATTCTTTCTTTTCTTCTTCTTATCAGTAGTGGGGCTTGAACTCAGAGCCTGTGCACTGTCCTTAAGCTCTTTTGTTCAAGGCTCTGCCACTTTAAGCCACTTTAAGCCACAGCTCCACTTTGGGTTTTTGAGTGGTTAACTGGAGATAACAGTTTCACAAGAACTTTTCTGCTAAGGCTGGCTTTAAACCATTATCCTCAGATCTCAGCCTCCTAAGTAGCTAAGATTATAATTGTGAACCACTGGTGCCCAGCTAATTCTTTCTTTAGAAAGACCAAGAATGCACTGGATCCCAGTGTTGTTACTTGACACTGGTAACAGCATTGTAAAGATTTCCAATCAAGACAATTTATGACAACATTTTTTGTTCTAAGTGCTTACATTTAAATGATTTTATTCTTTCCTTATATGACATGAACACCCACATAAGTATAATCTGTATCTTTTCTATTTACCACCTTTTACTATCATTTCCTACTGGATGTTTTCTTGATACTTTGTGACAAGCACAACTTGAAGCCTATTATTTATCTATACTTTTTTCTTTTTTTAGTACTCGTCCTGGGGCTTGACCTCAGGTGTGGGCACTACCCTTGAGCTTCTTTTTGCTCAAGACTAACACTCTACCATTTGAGCCACAACTTCACTTCTGGTTTTGTTAATTATTTGAAGATAAAAGTCTCATGGACTTTCCTAGCTGGACTGGCTTTGAACCACAGTCCTCAGAGTTCAGTATCTGGAATTACAAACATGAGTGACTTAATTTCTTAATTCACATTACCTTCCATGTAGTTAGACATGCATATGCATGTCTCTGTATGTATGTATATAAATGGATTATTTTTCAGGCATTTTTTTGTTTAATTGAATATTATGGTTTCTGACTTACTTAAATATTTTCCCTGTTTTGCTAAAGGTACGTTATATAAAGAAAATACTAAAGGTCCAGAGAGCAGAGGCAGATTTCTTTTTTAAAAATTTGTTCTATTTTTAACAGCATATATTAATGGTACAAAGGGATTTCCCTATGATATTTCTCTGTGTGCACATAATGTATCCCCCTTATCCCTCCCATGTATCCTTCCTATCCCTTTCTTGGAACATTTTCAACAAATTTTGTGGTTCAATTTTCATACATGTATATAAAAACACAACAAAGATGCCTGCACAACCATGTTCACCACAGTACAATTTACAATAGTCAAGTTATGGAAACAATCCAGATGCCTCACAGTGGGTGAATGAATTTTTAAAAGTGATATTAACAGTGGAATTTTATGTAGTCACCAGGAAGAGTGAAATATCATTTACAGGGAAATGAATAAATCTGGAAAATATACTGAACAAGGTAAGCCAGGCCCAGAAAGATAAAGGGTGCATTTTTTCTCTCATATGTAAATACATATAGACATATGTTTATATATATGGTCAGAGTATAGTATATGCAGAAGTGAAATTCCAAGGAGTAAACCTTTCAAACAATTAACAGGTAGGTTAGCAAAATGAGTATCAGGAAGCTGAATGAGATACTAAGACACTGGCCTGTAGGAGAGGAATGGATGAATGAAGAGATGGGACATGCACTACAAGAATGCTTAATGTATGTATGTGATAAAGAAGTGGGAAATTTGAATTGAGTCTCTGGTGAGGGAACAGATCGGGTGAAGGAGAGGAACGCAAGGGAGACCCATCAAGAAACAGCATACACTTTGATGAGCACATTTAATTGTAGTTTCCTTGTAGAACCTTTTGAAGTTTAGAAAATATGAAAAGTACAGAGGTAGGGTGTCTCATTATAACCAAAATGTTTTAATTTGCATTACTTCAATGGCCTACAATGTCATGTATATATCATGTGTTTATTAGCCAATTGTGCTTCTTTATTATGTGCTGGGACTTGAACTCAGGGCCTCACTCTCTCCCTTGGCTTTTCCCCTCAAGGCTGACATTCTACCATTTGAATCACAACTCTATTTTTAGGTTTTGCAGGTTAGTTGAAGATAAAGAAACTCTTGGATTTGTTTGTCTGGGCTGGCTTCAAACTATTATTCTCGGATCCCAACCTCTTGAATAACTAGGATTACAGGTGTGAGCTACTGGCACCTGGCAAAAGATCCAGACACAGAAAAGTTAGTGACATGCGCTAGTACTGGACCTTAAATTGAAGGCCTCATGCTTTTGCTTTGTGAATCTTCTTTTGATAACTGAAACTTTTCATTTGTGTATTGGGAAGTTTATATTAAGGTTTGAAACTCTTTGTATATTCTGGATAGTAATCCTTTATCTAATGACTAACTGGCAAAGATTTTCTTCCATTCTGTAGGTTTTCTTTTGATTCTGAAAATTGTTTCTTTTGGTCTGCAATTTTTCTTTAAATTTGGTGAATTCAATTATTAATTCTTTTTATTTTCTGAGCAATTGAGATTGTATTCAGGAAAGCAGAGTCAATGTCTATATCTTCAAGAATTTCCCTATGTTTTCCTGTAGCAGTTTCAAGATTGTTGCTCTTATTAAGATTTTTTTGGTACATTTGGAATTTAATTTTATACAGAGTGAGTGAGAGTTAGGGTCTAGTTCATCCAGTTTCCCTAACATCATTTGTTTAAGAGATGTATGTAAGTTTTTGAATTTTTCTTCATGAATGTAAAAACCCGTATATATGGTCATTGCTGTGTGTCATCTTCTAGATCTTCTATCTGTGGACTTACATGTCACTTTTTGTGCCAATTCGATGTCAATTTTGGTACTATAATTTGAAGCATAATTTTTTTTAATTTATTGTGAAAATACTGTACAGAGGGTTTACAATTACATGGGCAAGATAATGAGTATATTTCTTATCAAGCATTGTAGCCTCCTCCTTTGTTTCCCCTTCCCATCCCTTCCCATCCTCCTCCCACCCCCTCCTAATCCTCCTCCCCCACAGCAAAGTTTTAAAGTTCGTTTTTCCAAATAATGACTTGTACATCTCATTGTTGCAATGGATCCACCTGTATCCCTAGTTAAACGATTTGTTTTTTCCCTTCCCCTCCACAAATTATACCGACCTCAAGTACAGTGAAAGCAGGGGTTATACCATGGGGGAGGGACAAACAAAGCAACAAAGAAATAATCTTACAAATGTGTTAGAAACAATCACCTGAAAGAAAAAACATTTGAATACATATCTTAAGGTTCATTTCCCAAACATCAACTTATCTGACCTTTTCTGCTTGACTCAGACATATACTAGTTATTGCAAATAAGGGAAACCATGGGACCTGTGTTTCTTTGGGCCTGGCTTACTTCACTTAATATAATTTTTTCCAAGCCTTTCCATTTCCTAACAAATGGGGCAATGTCATTCTTTCTGAGGGAGACATAGAATTCCATTGTGAATATATACCACATTTTCTTGATCCATTCATCTACTGAGGGGCATCCGGGTTGCTTCCATATCTTTACTATGGTGAATAATGCTGCAATAAACATAATTGTGCTGGTAGCTTTAGTGTGGCCTTGTTTGTGATCATTTGGGTAAATGCCCCAAAGTGGGATTGCTGGGTCATAGGGGAGCTCTATGT